ACCAAACGTGTTTGCTTATTTTTTTCTTTAAGCAATGTATTTTCTCTGGCCACTCTTCTGTAAAGCCAAGCTCTGTGGAGTGTACGGCTTAAAGTGGTCCTATGGACAGATACTCCAATCTCCGCTGTGGAGCTTTGCAGCTCCTTCAGGGTTATCTTTGGTCTCTTTGTTGCCTCTCTGATTAATGCCCTCCTTGCCTGGTCCATGAGTTTTGGTGGGTGGCCCTCTTTTGGCAGGTTTGTTGTGGTTCCATATTCTTTAAAAAAAATTAAATAATGGATTGCTCTGTGGGATGTTCAAAGTTTCTGATATTTTTTTATAACCCAACCCTGATCTGTACTTCTCCACAACTTTGTCCCTGACCAGTTTGGAGAGCTCCTTGGTCTTCCTGGTGGCACTTGCTTGGTGGTGCCCCTTGCTTAGTGGTGTTGCAGACTATGGGGCCTTTCAGAACAGGTGTATATATACTGAGATCATGTGACACTTAGATTGCACACAGGTGGACTTTATTTAACTAATTATGTGACTTCTGAAGGTAATTGGTTGCACCCTTATTTTGGGGCTTCATAGCAAAGGGGGTGAATACATATGCATGCACCACTTTTCCATTATTTATTTTTTAGAATTCTTTTTAACAAGTTATTTTTTTCATTTCACTTCACCAATTTGTCCTTTACATGAAATCCAAATAAAAATCAATTTAAATTACAGGTTGTAATGCAACAAAATAGGAAAAACTCCAAGGGGGATGAATACTTTTGCAAGGCACTGTAGGTATATGGCAACGCTTAACTTGCTACTTCATGTTTCATTATTTTTTATTATTTAATTGTTTAACCTCTATGGGATTGGTGTCCCATATACGGGACGGTTGAGCTAATATGCGCTTATGTGATTAGCATGACTGTTGTAAGTAACAGCAAACTTTTCAGGACATAGACATGCCTTATATGGGCAGAAAGCTTAAATTATTTTTAATCTAACTGCACTGTCCAATTTACAGTAGCTATTAAAGTGAAAAAAATACCATGCTATTGTTTGAGGAGAGTGCTCAACAACAAAAAACGTATCACGGCAACTGGTTTGATACATTCACCTCTGAAGGTAAATAATGTACTTACATTCAGTAATCTTGCTCTGATTTGTCATCCTAAGGGTCCCAGAGATAAAATGTAGCATAGTTTTGTTTGATCAAATCAATTTTTATTTTCAAATGTAGGAACTGGGTTCTACAGTTTGAATCCCTGCTGTCTCTGGCTCCACACCCACCCCGCCCGGCCATCTAGATGTGTGAAAGTTAGCGTATAAGCTAATGACATTCCTGGGAGTGTGTAAACTTACAAAAATGATATGGTAATACAAAATGTATGTTCTCTATAGTTATGTACTTGAAAATGTATCAATTGACGAATTCGGCACATTTGGGCAGACTTGATACAAAATAGTCCAGTATTGCAATGCTTCACTGGATCAATCTGAAACTTTGCACACACACTGCTGACATCTAGTGGCCAAATCTAAATTGCGCCTAAACCGCAATATTATATTGCGGCCTTTCTCTTGCATTTCAAAGATGATAAAAACAAACAAAAAAGAAAACGCATGTTTCTGTGTTTGTATTATCTTTAACCAGATCTAATGTGTTATATTCTCATACATTATTTTCACATTTCCACAACCTTCAAAGTGTTTCCTTTCAAATGGTATCAAGAATATGCGTATCCTTGCTTCAGGTCCTGAGCTACAGGGAGTTAGATTTGGGTATGTCATTTTAGGTGAAAATTGAAAAAAAAGGGCCCGATCCTTAAGAGGTTAATTATTTAATTGTAGAATACATGTAGGCCTACCTGAAGCTCAATGATTTGTTGAGCAATTATGAAAACCATTGTCATCATATCCTATTTTTAGTTCACGTTGATATGGCAAAAGAGCGACTTTGACTTTATTCATATTTGCTCCCAGTTTACACAAAGTGAAGAAATGCAGAATTTACTAAATCAAACTTTGTATTCAAAATAGCACGAGAAAACAATAGAATACATAACACATAGCAAACATACATAGAACAAAAATATAAATTCAAAAAGGTAAAGTGTTCGTCCCATGTTTCATGAGCTGAAATAAAATATCCCAGACATTTTCCACACGCAAAAAAAGCGTATTTCTCTAAAATGTTGCGCATTAGTGAGCATCTCTCCTTTGCCAAGACAATCCATCCACCAGACAGGTGTGGCATATCAAGAAGCTGATTAAACAGCACGTTCATTACACAGGTGCACCATGTGCTGGGACAATAAAATGACACTCTAAAATGTGCAGTTTTGTCACACAACACAATGCCACAGATGGCTCAAGTTTGAAATAGCATGCAGTTGGCATGCTGACTACAGGAATGTACACCAGAGCTGTTGCCAGATAATTAATTTTCATTTATCTACCATAAGCCGCCTCCAACGTTTTTTTTAGAGAATTTGGCAGTACGTCCAACCGGCCTCACAACCGCAGACCATGTGTATGGCGTCGTGTGGGTGAGCGGTTTGCTGATGTCAACGTTGTGAACAGAATGCCCCAGGACCGCCACATCCGGTTTCTTCACCTGCAGAATCGTCTGAGACCAGCCACCTGGACAGCGGATGAAACTGTGGGTTTGCACAATAGAAGAATTTGCACACACTGTTAGAAACCGTCTCGGGGAAGCTCATCTGCATGCTCGTCGTCCTCACCAGGGTCTTGACCTGACTGCAGTTCGGCGTCGTAACCGACTTCAGTGGACGAATGATCACCTTCGATGGCTACTGGCACGCTGGAGAAGTGTGCTCTTCAGAGATGAATCCCGGTTTCAACTGTACCGGGCAGATGGCAGACAGCGTGTATGGCGTTGTGTGGGCGAGTGGTTTGCTGATGTCAACGTTGTGAACAGAGTGCCCCATGGTGCCGTTGGGATTATGGTATTGGCAGGCATAAGCTATGGACAACGAACACAATTGCATGTTATCGATGGCAATTTAAATACACAGAGATACTGTGACGAGATCCTGAGGCCAATTGTCGTGCCATTCATCCGCTGCCATCACCTCATGTTTCAGCATGATAATGCACGGCCCCATGTCGCAAGGATCTGTACACAATTCCTGGAAGCTGAAAATGTCCCAGGTCTTCCATGGACTGCATACTCACCAGACAAGTCAGCCATTGAGCATTTTTGGGATGCTCTGGATCGACGTGTACGACAGCGTGTTCCAGTTCCCGCAACTTCACACAGCCATTGAAGATGAGTGGGACAACAATCCACAGGTGGCAATCAACAGCCTGATCAACTTTATGTGAAGGAGATGTGTCCTGCTGCATGAGGCAAATGGTGGTCTTACCAGATACTGACTGGTTTTCTGTTCCACGCCCCTACAAAAAAAAAAAAAAGGTATCTGTGACCAACAGATGCATATCTGTATTCCCAGTCAGGTGAAATCCATAGATTAGGGCCTAATGAATTTATTTCAATTGACTGATTTCCTTATATGAACTGTAACTCAGTAAAATCTTTGAAATTGTTGCATGTTGCGTTTATATTTTTGTTCAGTGTGTAATACAAACAAATACATAATAGGCTACAGAATTATTTTTCTCTTAATGGGAAAATGGTATTGCGTAAAAAAAAGAAAAGTGACTTTGAATAGCCATGAATCATTTAAGCGCTACAGCGAGCTCTTAAGCCTATTTTCTGGATTCATTTTCAGCACGGGACAGCAGCTACTGTAATGAGCTCCTGAGTGGCGCAGTGGTCTAAGGCACTGCATCGCAGTGCTAACTGTGCCACTAGAGATCCTGGTTCGAATCCAGGCTCTGTCGCAGCCGGCCGCGACCGGGAGACTCATGGGCGGCGCACAATTGGCCCAGCGTTGTCCAGGGTAGGGGAGGGAATGGCCGGCAGGGATGTAGCTCAGTTGATAGAGCATGGCGTTTGCAACGCCAGGGTTGTGGGTTCGATTCCCACGGGGGGCCAGTATAAAAAAAAAAAATGTATTCACTAACTGTAAGTTGCTCTGGATAAGAGCGTCTGCTAAATGACTAAAATGTAAAAATGTAAATGTAATGACACAGTTAAGTTTCACTTTGTAACGAGTTAACTGGGTTGTGTTTTGGGAAACGGGTGTGACATCGTCGGCCGTTATTTTTATGATACATCGGTAAAACACTCGTAAGCCTAAATTCCTTCGCTATCGGGAAACCAGACCCTGGTCATCCAGAATCACAACAACACACGGACTTCTGCCCCATTGAAGTATGCACATCATGATGTTGTCAGCTAACCCATTTACACGCCCACACCATTCCAACACAGAAAATGTACTTTTTAACATACTTAATTACCGTTTTTTGGAAGGAAAACTATTTCACTCATATTGTTATTAATTATAGGTAATATTTCATAAAAATCTGGAAACACTGGACAGTTACTTTAAAAGTAAGTAATGTGAATCTAGAAAATGTCAAATGATTATAACATGATTACTACACATGGGGTATGGTGGAACAATAAGAATACTTTTCGGATAATACAAGTAGAATATAATCATTTTATTCCAACTACAGTTACCTTGTGTATATATTGCTTTTTGTCTGATAAACTTCACAAACAGCTCAATGAGTTGGTGGCAAAAATCTAATCCAAAATCAAGTTAGTGGCACCACCTGCTGGCCAGCATAGAGACAGAGAGAGGAGAGGGTTTACTAAAGGTCAGGATCAATTCTTGAGGACCTACAAAAATATAGCTGATGCTTTCTTTTTATTACATGAGCAAGAAGACTTATCAAGGCATAACCCACAACTCTTGAGCAATTACACAGCCTCAGATAATATTCCCAGGTTTTTAGAATATTACCCTCATTTAGTAAAGCTCAAAAGGATGGACGACACCATAATATTTCCTGTCTATCATAGATGTGAAGTCATTTGTGTAGTAGAAAGAATAGTACACAAGGAGAACATTTCCATGCTATTTTCAGGTCTTGGTTAGTCTCAACAGTCTTTGTATGTCAGGCTCGATGTTGATGGTCTCAAATTTTTTGCTATACCGTTTAAAGGGCTCTCCCTCTGGCCCAACCAGGAATTTCTCAAAATTCCAAGAGATGTCTGTCCTGCTGATGGGACTCCAGATGAGGAACTTAGGATCCTGGATGAGGGTGTGTGGATCATCATCAGGATAGGGAAGTTTGTCTTTCAAATAGGCAAAGACAGGGTGGGTGTTGGTTCCATTCACGTCACACTTCTCAAAGACAGTGAAGCCAGGCTGGTAGCCATCTCCAGGACGCACATACTTCAATGAGTTCAGGATCTCCCCATTTGAACAGTTCTCCTGTAAAACATGCAACATTCTCATCTGACAATCATTAAACAAATCACCTGATACTTGTAATTAACAGAATATTTTACTAGAGTAGCTTGTTTTTATTGATTTCACTGAACCACATAACCAAAGGCCAAGATGTCACATACTGACCTGGTAGCCAAACTGATTGCAGGGGAAGCCCAGGACCACTAGCCGGTGAGGGTACTTGCTCTGGAGCAAGTTGAGCTGGCTGTAGTCCCGGGTGGTTGTCCCTCAGAGCGATGCCACATTCTCAATGAGGACCACCCGCCCTCGAAACACATTGAAATCTACTGAATCCCCCTCCAGCGTCGTGGCCTTCAGATCATAGAAGGTCTTAGCGATGAACGTCATGGTCCTGTTCTGTAGTTACTGGCAGTAGTGAGGACCAGTGTGTTCTGTGTGTTAATACCACCTCAGGTCACCTGACGTCAGATATGTGCCTGCCTTACCTGGGTGTCAAATAGCTCTGCAGTAAAATGATACCCACATGACATACAATCCTGTCACACACTAAGGTAGACAGGCTCATATCTCAGCTTGTAAACTTGCACAGAACGGAATGAAGGGAGTCGTGTTAAATCTAATCTATAGTTATTACATTTACATTTTAGCCATTTAGCAGACGCTCTTATCCAGAGCGACTTACAGTTAGTGAGTGCATACATTTTTTTCTTTCTTTCTTCATACTGGCCCCCCGTGGGAATCGAACCCACAACCCTGGTGTTGCAAACGCCATGCTCTACCAACTGAGCTACACGGGACAATATTACTTTCATACTAAATACGTAATCGTTTTTTATACAAATTACATGTTATACGTCTTTATGTTTTATTATGGCCAAATACACTCAGCGGTTTTACAGTCAGACTCGTCTGTGAATATGATCTAGTAAAAATGTATTCCACAGTATCAAAACATTTACCAAATAGCCAACAAGATTACCTTTTTTTATTTAATAAAAAATACATATATTCATATTTTATGTTATAGCACAGCTACTCAAAAACATCAATCCAGTCAGCTATCGGTTGCACCGTATCATCCCTTTATAGTAGTGTTTGTGTATGCACCAGTGTGGCATTTGCTACAGCTTTTAAACCTGTAAAAATACCTAGAATTGGTAATGACAACTTCTAAATTCACAAAACATACAAGTTACTCAAAATAGTGTTGAACATCATTTCTGTTTTAGATCGAGTTTTGGCTTCATGCATGTTTGAGTATGGGTTAGTCTTCCACAGGTAAATGAGCCCTTCTTGCTAGCTTGGATTCTATTTCTGCATGTGAATAATTTAACGATGCCCTCTACCCACCCTGTCTCCCCTATCCTGGTCTCATCTCATAAAGCACCAATCAAGAGCTTCAGATTCTCTTTTACTTTGGTCCGTCCCACTATTCATCTATTTTACAAATGACTTTGTAAGCATCATTTTAGTTATTTAAAGTAGACAGCAACGTTTGTGATATGAAGGGTAAAATTGTGACAAACTCAGAGGCGTCTTGCCCAGAGGGGGCACAGGGGCACGTGCTCCCTCAGATTAGTCCTGTTTATAAAAAAATTAATACTAATACTACTAGCCAACTAACAATTTAATGACGTTGGCTTTAGCTACCCCATATAGGTTCCAATCTCCCAACCTCATAACTAGCTACTAAGGAGCCATTTCAGACTATCTATCAAGTTAGAGTAGCTAGCTTGTCTAACTATCTTACCTGGCTGCCAGCAAGGTTGGTAGACTTTAGAAAAGCAAGCAATTACTAAATGTATTGGATAAGACTCACATTCCTTTCAAATCTTTTACCCAGATTTTTGTTCCTTAAAAAATAAATCCACCAGTCAGGAGGATATAGACAGCTCAAGAGGTATGCTTAGATATGCAGAAAAATGAACACATTTTTGATGTAAAATTAAGCATATTGATTATGTCTCTAGATGCAGGAAAAAGCGGTTTCAGGTGTTTGGAAAAAAGCAGAAATGAGCCCTCTTCCAGTCCACCCGCCAGCCATCCTCATGTACTTTGTGCCCCCTCAAATTTTTGGGGTGCATGACGCCCCTGGTGGAAAAACAAATTATACAGGGGTAGGCTTAAGTATACCTTATCGATCCAAACAGGGGCGCAGTTGCAACTTTCAGTGTAGCATTGGAGCCAGCAGCCCATCTGCTGGCAAATCTTATTATTACTCAACTCAGGGTGCCATCAGTTTGGGTGTTGCAAAGCCGGGTAATAACCATTAAAAAGTCAAGTAACTATAAAACAATGCATAACTGTGAGTAAAACTAAAAATTATAATGCATCAAACTGATCAGCAGCAAGGGCAATATTCAGTAAACACCGAACATGCTCACACATTTCATAAGTTTCTCATCATTTCAATGCCATTATGTCACAGGGCCAGGGGCATTGCAACAACAACAAAATATTTTAGCCAAACACCCCCAGGTTAAGAGCTTTGCCATCATGCTAACATGCGCAGGCCTTCTGGGAGTTTGCATTGTTGTCCTGCTCTCCCTCCTGATAAGTCATGTCTAAGTATTTATCAGTGGAACCCTGGAAGGCATCCATCTCTTTCTTGTGAGCCTGCAGGACCAGCTCTGTCAACCGGGTGAACGACTGGAAGATGTAAAGAAAATATTTTATCACAATTGCCTCACATGATCACCCAACATAGCGTACATACAAGGTATTGACTCAATAAGGCCTATGACTCACCTCATTTATGTTGCAGTTGGTGCAGGAACTTGTCTCAAAGAATTCCATTCCATAGGTTTTTGCTAGCTGTAACACACGAGTTCATTAAGGATGGAAAAAGTCAAACTGTGTATGAAAGAAAACTATTATGACTGAGTAGAACAGCAAGATAAAGGCCAACCTTGTTCCCTTGTTCTTTAGGCACTTTCCTCTTCTGCTCCTCATCAGCCTTGTTCCCCACCAGGATCCTCTGCACCTTGTCAGGGGCAAACTGAAACACATTGTGACAGGGTTGTGAAAAAGACGACTGGGCACCAACAGTTCAATAAAGAGAGGATGTAAATACTGGGTAACAAACAAAGAGACCCTGTGAAACAGAGAAGGGGAGACAAAGAGACTAACCAAGTGAATGGAGGAGGGCAGTTTTATCCTTACCTCATCCACATCGCTAGCCCACTTCACAATGTGCTGAAAGGAACGGGAACTAGTGATGTCATACACCAGGATAATTCCCTGGTGAACGATCAAGAGAGAAGGAAGGGACCGTCATGACAGATTGTGTGCACATGACTAAGGTTGAGCACGGGACTAAGCACTTGATGTTGTAAAATGTTTTTAACTCTGCTACTGTACTTCATTTTTGGACACTGATTATTGGTGTGTAGAGAACCCACCTGTGCCCGTCTGTAGTACTGTTTGGTGATGGTCTGGTACCTTTCCTGGCCAGCAGTATCCCTAGTGTAGATAGACAAAGGCATAGAGGCAATCCCCAGTTTTACATGGTGACCACATTTCAGAATATGTCTCAATCAAATAAAGAGGTAAAGCATATTTCACCTTACAGAATGAAAACATGACATTTGTGATGGGTGTGTCAGTAACTACTGTATTATGGTGTGTGAGTCGTTATCTCAAAGATCTGTTCACTCACCAGATCTGTACTCGCACTTTAATGCCATCTATTTTTAATGTTTTCATTTTGAAATCCACTCCTACAGAAGACAAAAATATATTGTTATGCATGGCAAACATGTTACTATTGGCTGCCTTTTTAATCCATCTTCTCTCTCTTGATTTTATTTCATTTCCCTCGTGCTATCCTGTTTCTTTATTCTTTCCCCATTGCAGGACTGTAGTTTTACTGAAGGCTCAAATATTGTAGCCTATCCGATTGGTGCTTAAAATAAGTTTTTCCTGTATAAATAAATGATAAAAAGAAAAATGAATGACATCTTATTGGAACATTTTCATTCTCATTACTTACTTACCAAATCAGCCTGTACTAGTCAATAAGTAGCCCTGGTAACGTAGCATTCTTCCACTTGGCTAACAAAAACTTCTTCCATTCTTCCAGTCAAACAAAAACTTATTTTGGCCAGTTTGGAAGTGGACACTGATGGGGACTGGTTTGTTTAGATACCAACTTATCCCAGTTGAATGTCCTTTCAATCCGTCTTTGGAAGTAACCTTTAAAACATGTCATCTTGCTCAAGGAAATTCAATTGTTGTCATTTACTACGGTGTATTTCGGCAGGGCCTACGGACATGGAAGACGTGACTTGGGTGTCTATCGACCTCTGCATTAAATATATATATATATATCACTCACAACAACCTTCATTTAAAATGTCAGTGGTGTGTGTGACAGCTTCACAGTTGAAAAAGCATAAAAAACCATCAAATAGTCAGACGTAAAAGGTCAGTTGCTTGCAACATTGCCATAACAACCACCATACATGGCGCCGGAGAAGATGGCTGCCGTTTTACAGCCCTCTAACCAATTGTACTATTATGTGTGTTTTTCCGCGTTATTTGTAATTTATTTAGTACATAATGTTTCTGCCATCGTCTCTTATAACCAAAAAGAGCTTCTGGATATCAGGACAGCGATTACTCACCTCGTATTGGACGAATAATTTTTCTTCAACGAGGCGGCCGCAAAGGATATCCTACAGACACCCGACAAGGCCCAAATCCCCGTCATTCGCATGAGGAAGAGACGGAGATATCGTGGACGTAGGTCGGGGTGCCTTGTAAGGATCCGACGGCGAGCGAGTAAACTGCCGCTCCCATCAATCCTATTAGCCAATCTTCAATCATTGGAAAATAAATTGGATGACCTAAGATTACGGTTATCTTACCAACGGGACATTAAAAACTGTAATATCTTATGTTTCACCGAGTCGTGGCTGAACGACGACATGGATAACATACAGCTAGCGGGCTATACGCTACATCGGCAGGATAGAACGGCTGACTCTGGAAAGACAAGGGGTGGCGGTCTGTGTATATTTGTAAACAACAGCTGGTGCACAAAATCAAATACTAAGGACGTTTCGAGGTTTTGCTCACCTGAGGTAGAGTATCTTATGATAAGCTGTAGACCACACTATTTACCAAGAGAGTTTTCATCTATATTTTTCATAGCCGTCTATTTACCACCACAAACCAATGCTGGCATTAAGATTGCACTGAATGAGCTGTATAAGGCCATAATTCAACAGGAAAACGCTCATCCAGAGGCAGCGCTCCTAGTGGCTGGGGACTTTAATGCAGGGAAACTTAAATCCGTTCTACCTAATTTCTACCAGCATGTTAAATGTGCAACCAGAGGAGAAAAAAAACTCTAGACCACCTTTACTCCACACACAGAGACGCATACAAAGCTCTCCCTCGCCCTCCATTTGGCAAATCTGACCATAACTCTATCCTCCTGATTCCTGCTTATAACCAAAAACTAAAGCAGGAAGCACCAGTGACTCGGTTAATAAAAAAGTGGTCAGATGACGCAGATGCTAAGCTACAGGACTGTTTTGCTAGCACAGACTGGAACATGTTCCGGGATTCTTCAGATAGCATTGAGGAGTACACCACATCAGTCACTGGCTTCATCAATAAGTGCATCGATGATGTCGTCCCCACAGTGACCGTACGTACATACCCCAACCAGAAGCCATGGATTAAAGGAAACATCCGCACTGAGCTAAAGGGTAGAGCTGCCGCCTTCAAGGAGCGGGACTCTAACCCGGACGCTTATAAGAAATCCCGCTATGCCCTCCGACGAACCATCAAACAGGCAAAGAGTCAATACAGGACTAAGATTGAATCGTACTACACCGGCTCTGACGCTCGTCGGATGTGGCAGGGCTTGAAAACTATTACAGACTACAAAGGGAAGCACAGCCGCGAGCTTCCCAGTGACACAAGCCTACCAGACGAGCTAAACCACTTCTATGCTCGCTTCGAGGCAAGCAACACTGAAGCATGCATGAGAGCACCAGCTGTTCCGGATGACTATGTGATCACGCTCTCCGTAGCCGATGTGAGTAAGACTTTTAAGCAGGTCAACATTCACAAGGCCGCAGGGCCAGACGGATTACCAGGATGTGTACACCGAGCATGTGCTGACCAACTGGCAAGTGTCTTCACTGACATTTTCAACATGTCCCTGACTGAGTCTGTAATACCAACATGTTTCAAGCAGACCACCATAGTCCCCGTGCCCAAGGACTACCGACCCATAGCACTGACGTCTGTAGCGCTGGAGTGCTTTGAAAGGCTGGTCATGGCTCACATCAACAGCATTATCCCAGAAACCCTAGACCCACTCCAATTTGCATACTGCCCCAACAGATCCACAGATGATGCAATCTTTATTGCACTCCACACTGCCCATTCCCACCTGGACAAGAGGAACACCTAAGTGAGAATGCTATTCATTGACTACAGCTCAGCATTCAACACCATAGTGCCCTCAAAGCTCATCACTAAGCTAAGGATCCTGGGACTAAACACCTCCCTCTGCAACTGGATCCTGGACTTCCTGACGGGCCACCCCCAGGTGGTAAGGGTAGGTAACAACACATCTGCCACACTGATCCTCAACACGGGGGCCCCTCAGGGGTGCGTACTCAGTCCCCTCCTGTACTCCCTGTTCACCCATGACTGCATGGCCAGGCACGACTCCAACACCATCATTAAGTTTGCCGACGACACAACAGTGGTAGGCCTGATCACCGACAACGATGAGACAGCCTATAGGGAGGAGGTCAGAGACCTGGCCGTGTGGTGCCAGGATAACAACCTCTCCCGCAATGTGACCAAGACAAAGGAGATGATTGTGGACTACAGGGAAAAAAAGAGGACTGAGCATGCCCCCATTCTCATCGACGGGGCTGTAGTGGAACAGGTTGAGAGCGTCAAGTTCCTTGGTGTCCACATCACCAACGAACTATCATGGTCCAAACACACCAAGACAGTCGTGAAGAGGGCACGACAAAGCCTATTACCCCTCAGGAGACTGAAAAGATTTGGCATGGGTCCTCAGATCCTCAAAAAATTCTACAGCTGCACCATTGAGAGCATCCTGACTGGTTGCATCACCGCCTGGTATGGCAACTGCTTGGCCTCCGACCGCAAGGCACTACAGAAGGTAGAGCGTACGGCCCAGTACATCACTGGGGCCAAGCTTCCTGCCATCCAGGACCTCTATACCAGGCGGTGTCAGTGGAAGGCCCTCAAAATTGTCAAAGACTCCAGCCACCCTAGTCATAGACTGTTCTCTCTGCTACCGCACGGCAAGCAGTACTGGAGTGCCAAGTCTAGGTCCAAAAGACTTCTCAACAGCTTCTACCCCCAAGCCATAAGACTCCTGAACAGCTAATCATGGCTACCCGGACTATTTGCACTGCCCCCCCCCCCACCCCATCTTTTTACGCTGCTGCTACTCTGTTAATTATTTATGCATAGTCACTTTAACTCTACCCACATGTACATATTACTTCAACTACCTCAACTAGCCGGTGCCCCCGCACATTGACTCTGCACAGGTACCCCCCTGTATATACAGCCTCCCTACTGTTATTTCATTTTACTTCTGCTCTTTTTTTTCTCAACACTTTTTTGTTGTTGTTTTATTTTACTTTATTATTAAAAATAAATGCACTGTTGGTTAAGGGCTGTAAGTAAGCATTTCACTGTAATGTCTGCACCTGTTGTATTCGGCGCATGTGGCCAATACAATTTGATTTGACATGCCACAAACAGAGTAAACAACATTTACATTTACATTTTAGTCATTTAGCAGACGCTCTTATCCAGAGCGACTTACAGTTAGTGCATACATAATTTTTTATAACCCCCGTGGGAATCAAACCCACAACCCTGGCGTTGCAAACACCATGCTCTACCAACTGAGCTACATCCCTGCTGGCCATTCCCTCCCCTACCCTGGACAACGCTGGACCAATTGTGCGCCACCCCATGGGTCTCCCGGTCGCGGCCGGCTACGACAGAGCCTGGATTCGAACCAGGATCTCTAGTGACACAGCTAGCACTGCGATGCAGTGCCTTAGACCACTGCGCCACTCTGGAGACAACACAGAGCTGACGCAAACACGTCACACAAGGATATGCTTCAGGCAACAGACTGGCCATTATATGTTCTTAGTGAATCCAAACCGTGCTTCTAGTGATGTTAGAAACCATTCTGATTGTTTGTTGGACAAGACTAAAAAAATGCCATGATGTCATCTCCAATAGCGATGGAGGCAGCCTTCCCAATTAGCGCCCCAACACTGACACATGGGAGAGAGAGCACATTCAAATTTGACATGCTGTACATGCTTCACTACCTTTACCTGCGTGTATATCTCCCTGTGCCAGCGTTATAGGCTAATCATGTGTTCAACAGGTCTGACATTACATTCACTGCCAGTGAGGCCAGCCAAATCTTTAATGAGCTAATTTAGTGGGTAACACTGTATTCCAGGAACTGTGGTTGGGGGTTCAGGACTGAAGAATAATAAGGAACGAAGCATAGTAGAATCTAGGAGGGTGATTATCATGGGGTAGACATCAGGTGCCTTGGTCTGATTCTGTTCTGTATGCTACTCTTACGGACCCCTCCCCCTCAATAACACTAACCAAATACAATAGGTTTTTTTGTAGATCAGCAGCAGCTAAGCTTGCTTCACAGAGATAAAACACACCAGTAGAGCTGCAATGTATGTCACAACCTTCCCCATTCCTTCTAGTCACATATTGTTTTGTTTAAGTTGAACAAACAAGAGGAAGAAAGTTACAGGGTTAGATAAACAACCTCAAGACATCTGCATTAGTGTGTGTGTATAGTATGTAGACTTTCCTGTAGGCTGCTGCTTTTCAAACAGAACCCCTGCTCTGAGCTTTTCAGGATGTTTGAGCCCATTACCCAGTCAGTCATACCACAGGATCACCACCATGTTCATTAATAAGAGGGTGCATTGACTGCCGATGACCCATGGGAAATAAATCAGACAGTCAGCTGAGTGGCCCTAAACAAAACAGAAGTAATTCTGGCCAATCAGCCCATTTTCTGCTGCATATCACCTTTGTCAAAATCATTAGACATTGGCCACATAAATAGGGGAAGAAAGGCTTCAGTCTTGAGAGCACCATTTTAATGTGAGTTACATTCTGTCAGTCTACACCTCTACTTCGTATGAAAACAAAACATGAAGTGGTGGAGTAATGGAGTTACACAATCAGAGGGAACGCAGAAGATTAATTTCCCCCAACCCTGCCACTTCCTGTTCAAGAAAGACCTCCCTTCCGAGTAAATACCATCATCAGGCTTGGAGAGGCTTTCTATGCAATTACAGATCCTGCAGTTCCATTGTGCTCTGCCAAAGAGAGGCCTATTTCCTTAAAGCATCCCCCATCCATAATAGGCTAAATGGTCCTGTATGTGATCGTTATTGCAGAAGAAGCTGTACCATGAGAGTTTTGTCCAGTTTTAGATCCTTAGTCCATTCTGAACGCTTAGGCGACTAAATATGTGCCTACGCCTGTTGGCTGAAAACTTCGAGTTATTCCATTAAACCATGTATGTTTTTCAATGGACAAAATGTTATGGTAGATGGGAATCTAACCCTATTTAGAGGAATAATTAGTAATGTAATGTGACTGAGGCCCATCTTGAGCACTGTCCACAGTGAGCTCACACTGGAGTTGCTAAACAAACCTGTCCATAGCCTGGGCCCAGGGGGAAATTCTGTTGAACATTGAATGATGGAAGCTGAGAAAACAATCATCAACCGGTTCTAGTAGAGGCATGTTCCTTAGAAAACAGGTGTTTGTGAAAAATGTTTCTGTTTTAGGTTTGTAGGCCTAGCAAAGACAATATTTGATAGTTAGGATTACGGCATAGTAGTTTCAGAAATATGTAATTCAATCAAGTTTTAGGTGACAGCATTTTAAATATATTAGGAAAAGTCCCGTCATGCGTTTCCTATAGAATTGCTGTCAATCACTTATTGTGGGAGCCGCATATTCGCGGCAAACTTGCCTGAATTAATCAACGGTCAAACTAACCGATTGCAATCAACAGCAGCTTACCAATAGTAGAGATGTGCGATGAATGAAATTCATTATCCGTGAACCTGCACAACAAACAGGTTTTTCCAACCCCGGAATCGCCTAAAAGCAGCAACCTGAGCAAAAGGTCATACTGCTTTGCCATGGTGGACAAAAAAACTATTAAATCAAAAATGACTGTCGCATATTCCAAGGATTTGGCATAGTTACTGATGAGGAAATTGGTGGCGTTCCTTGTACACTCCTTGTGCTTCCCCTAGTTTCTTGCTCAGTGAGAACTCACTTGCATGGGACTGCTCTATGATTTGCCAGAAATCTGACAGATGAGTATTGAAAATGCTTTTAGTAGGGCGGTGAGATCAGAGGCTTGGAGAAGCGACGAGACCGCCTCAAAAATAGTGGTTACAAATTAGCCTTTACCTATCTCCCTCACTCAAATTAAAAATTGCCTATACATGTTTAATCTCTGTAAAAAGTTTACAAACAAAAAATTAAAGCCGTATTTCTTATTTAAATGTATTGTCAAAATGGTAACATTTGGCAATTAGTCTTCAATTCATGTTGAACTGCGCAGACTGATTTCATTAATATTGATACGTTACCATTATCTACCAGGAGATGTCAGTGTTTCTCGTAACTAATACTGGAATTCTTTCCTCCTGTTGGGTTTTTTGTAGCTTTTAAACTCTAGGTCTATTCTGCTTTCTCCGTAGTTTTCAACAGTTAGCGTCGCCCACAACTGGCTCATGTGAATCCCGACGCTTCGTTTTAACATTTTGAAACGTCAATAATCATCACTTGCGATATGGCTCTCGAAACATATGGCCCTTATCTTTCAACATTGAGAAAGAATCCTACAACAAAAAAATACACTTACTTTAGCAGTTTTGCACAGATCCATACAGCTTTGGGTGCCTCCATCCGCCGAAACTACACTTCCCGAGTTACACTTACACACAGGTGTTCAGAGCACGCTAGATAGCACAGGTGGACGCCTCAGTCTTCCGTCTTGTTTTCCGTAAACAAGCGCTATAATATGGAGATATGGCCGTGTGGGAACACTAACCCTATAAAGGTGTGTATCAATGTAACATTTTTTAAAATGTTTTCTCGCTGATATTAAAGATAAGGTCCTTATGCTTCCATAACCAGACCGCAAGCGATGCGTGTTGATGTTATGACGGAGCGCCAGGGCTCTTACCAAAACTCCCCCATACAGAAGACGCCTTTGTGCAATGACTTATGTGTAACATAATGAAACAGTGTCATGATCAAGGGCTAGGGTTTTTGATGCATGCATAATTTCTGAAGCAACCCCTCAATAAGCTCATCTTGGTGTTGATAGACTATTGTAGCAGATAGTGTTGTATAATATGGACATACCAGGCTACCGTCTATTGGCGACACGTCATTCAGGGCAGGTGGGGCAGAGTCCAAACTGTTTTGAGCCCCACCTGTTTGTTTTGCATGTTATTTTGACATTAATGTGTCACATATCAGTTTACAAACAATGTAAAAAATAATAATAAAGCCGCATACAAACATGGTCTCTTTTTTGCTTTGAGTAAGGCAGCTCCAAAATGCAGGTGTTTCAGCCTAGCTCAGTGCTTTCTGTGGTGGGGCAGCCAGTGGAAAATACGGAGCGTAGGGGTTGGTCATGTTCTCTAGTTGCGCCGTGATTGGCTCAGTGTTTTGTCACTCATGGGGACACTACATCGCTGCAAAATCTACTGGGGAAGCAAAACAATTCAAGTCCCTGGGGTGCTGCCATGGAGTTACATTAGAAGTGCCCATCCAAGAAGGCTCAAGGTCATTGGCCACAGATAAAATGATGTCAAATCACATATCTACCGTAGCTTTGATTGGACTGATCATGTCAACATCATACTTTCAAAATCTTAGCTAGCAAGCTAGACAAGCAGTCATTATCATAAAAATCACCTCGACAATCTATTGCCAAATCCTTTTCAAACCTTGTCATATGAAGATAAATTATAGATACAAAGTATCATTACACAAGTTGGATATCACAAATTCAACAATGATGTTTTGGAAGGAATCAGTGGCTAACTGCAACCATTGCTAAGCAATCACTAGCCTGCTATTCAGTGGCGTGGGTGTGTGGTCCAAGTCTGGGTTTAAGGGTCTATTTCCCAAGCTTAAAGGGATAAACATTCAACAGCATGGGCCAGAAAAGTTTGAATACATTGGCCATGCTGTCAATCCAGCATGACATCTGCCATGTTCAGAACAACTGGAAACTCAGAACTGGGAAATGTCAGACTTCAGTGAGTTCAAGACAACTGGGAACTCTGAGAAAAAACTGAGCTCCGACTGGGAAAATACATTTTGAACGGTCATCAAACTCGGAATTGCAAGTCGGGAACTCTGCCTCTTTCTAGAGCTCCGACCTGAAGATCACTGACGTCATGATTCGACCTTGTTTTTTTCAGAGTTCCCAGTTGTCTTGAAAGCACCATAAATCCAGAGAATGCCAGACTTTGATGACAAAATTTGCCCACGAAGGACCGCCACGCCACTTTCCTGTTCAAGTGAGCACAGCACAAGTCCAAAAATGTATTGTATAGTGCTGCACAAATGATGTAATATGCCAGGGAGATATGTATACTGTTGTTAAGAAAGTAATACTAAGAATGTTGTGTAGTAAGCTGTTAGTAGCCCATGTGCCTCATCCTAATAATTTGGTCCGTTTCCCCCTCATAACTTAGCCTACTGTTCTGACTTGGTGGTGCACATGTAGCCTATAGCCTGTTTTAGAGAAATGTAATAATTGAATATTGTAAGAGCCTTCATTGTCTGCTTATATACCCCCTTTATTTATCCTACGGTTCTGACTTGGTGTACAGGGAAAATACTTTCAGAACTGCCCATGTTCTGAATTCTGTTGCTGTACATTTCCAAAGTGCTGAACAAATAGTTATATTGACTACGTCCGTCCTAGCTTGCGCAATGTCTTAATCAAAATTACGAATTTTCTCTTATCCACTCGTCGTCCCCTTATGCCATAGCTTGTACATCTCAATTGTCAGTAGACACCACATTTGCTTAAGCAAATCTGCCATATCAGCTATGTTTTTTTAACCCTCCCGTTGTCCTAGGGTCAAAATGACCCGCCACTGTGTTGAACCAACTTTATTTAATTTTTATATTTTTTGGATCATTTGTGAGAAGGAGGCAGTGATACTTTCTTTAAAGTCTCACTGCCTCCTTCTCACAAATGATCCCCAAAATATAAAAATTACAAAGTTGGTTCAACACAGTGGCGGGTCATTTTGACCCTAGGACAACGGGAGGGTTAAAAGGCAGTAAATGAGACTGAATGAACTGTTTCGCTGGCAGACAAGGCTCCGCTGATAGCCAGGTATAGCAGTGGTAAGGATTTACTCCATTGTGCTGAAAAGAAAGCTCTGCTGCTGGGACTGCTTTATGTAGGCCCTAACAGTTTGTGGGCACCATTTGTCACCGTTATAGTGCAATGAATGTATTGTTTAGTGTTGTGTAGTGGCTTTGCTGGCATGCATCTAAAAATATATATATTTTTGTTTGCCATGCTAAAATCACCACTGCTACCATCTAGCCTCTGAGAATATTTTGACTCATTTTCCAAACACTGAAAGCCAGAAGTGTACCGGAAAAAAGAGATGCTATCTCAATCATTTTGAAATTCTTTGAATTGCTAACATTTTTTCATCCTCAACCTTAGACAAACACCAGTCGTTGAGATCCTAGTGTTGATATGAATGCTTCATCTGTCATTCCTTTACTCTGATAAACTGAAACTGCAGAACAGGTACTAGCCTATTCCACCAGATATCAAGATGGCTCCTTTGAGATGCATGTACCTGCATGAAAAGTGGGTGTCACGTGTGTGGATAATCTGAGCTCAGTGCGCACTTCAAAGCATCATTGTCAATAGGCCAGCCAACACCATGCCACTCAGTGCTTAGAGCAGGTAGGGTTTAAAATCTGGAACAAAGACATTGATACAAATGATAGTGAAGAGGTGTACATGTACCTTGTCCAGCACTGGCAAGCACAAAATACCAAGAAAACTCAAAGTAAGGTATGCTTGGGCATACACTTTAAGCTGGCCTCTTCGCCAGGTCTCCCTTCTACACACAGCACTAAAGGATAAAATAGTTTTATTTATAATGGTCTCATAGCAAAGGTATGCCTCAACTTGCAAGACAATTGTTGGCAGTATGTACAACATACCTGTAATTTCCATGGAGTGGAATCAAACAAATATCTATTTTGTACACACTAATTATATCTGTAAAAAAAAAAAGGTTTTTCTTTGTAGAACTGACATTTAAGAGTATACAGTGTTATGCACTACACTGATAAGGAATTATTTTCCTTTCATCAAAATAAAAGATTACTACCTTTAACTGCATTGTGTAACAGTCAGGATACATTTTAGGATACCTTTTTCTTCTTCAAATCTCAATTGTTTTGAGAATAACAAAATAAAAACAAAGAGTTGAACCTGTGAGGTGAGAATATATTAAATGAGGCCAACATTGTTCATCTATCTATCTCCATTGACAAGTGGTCAAGCTAAATGACAAAAATGTACAATATGGGATACGAAATAGTTTTTTTTCTCAATATAGCTATCACCTAAATTTAGGGATTTGATTACACAAATATTTCAGAGACGGAAAACATCAGCCATCTACACTGATTCAGGAGGGTTGCATTACATATATTTTTTTCCAAAGCAACTTCACATTATTTTGTGAAAAAGTACAACTATTAACAAGGTCAGCTATTCCTTAGGACATTTTCTCAATGGTCTGCCTAAGTCTCAAAACTCTGAACAGGTTCATTGAGGTGATCCAAAACGAGAAATGGGGCTATTTGTTGTAACTAGACTAAAGCTGTACACCTGGTCACCTCCATATCCGATTCTGAATCATTAGAATGAGGTTTTAAACGCATGAACTCCTTCAAACTGCAGAGCTGCCTCACTTTGGGGGTGTTGAGAGTTGTTGCTGTGCCATGAGAGGAATGACAATACGTTGGTGAGGGATGAGAAAGGTTGAAGCATTGTATATATGATAGCACCTCTATCACAGTCTTCCATCTGTCTCCTAGAGTGGCATGAGAAGGCTGGAAAGAGACTGAACAGGAGGAGAGGGCTGGTGGATAAGAGAGTCTCTGGTGATAGCACTGTGGATGGAGTCTAGCTGGGCTCCACACGCAGCTTCTTTCTGTTGGGCGGCTCCTCTGGCTCTGATTCAGAGCTGGAGTCGGAGCCACCATCAAAGGCGGACACTGTGCTCCCCTTGGGGTTGGTGTACAAGCTGCTGTCAGAGGATGTGTAGTTGGCCTGGAGCGTAGTGTTCCCCTTGGCCTTCTCCAGTGCACGGACTGCAATCACCCAGAGAAACACAAAGTCAGAAAACAACAGGAGAAGTATCGGTCTCTCCCTTCTCCACCATGAAACATAATTCATTGGGATAATGCAAAAGGCCATCAGTAGCATAGCCATTATGGCGCATTTCCATACAGGATTTACCCGTGTTTTACCCAAAAGGCTCAGACTTTTCTGTTTCCATCTACGTGGGCCGGCACCCGTGTCTCACCGGGCCATGGCTCCGGCGTACCTGCTCTCACTTTGGGCCAAAGCCAGGTCACTGTTACTTTTTAGCTGTCATTACACAATGGCTAACTGTTCCCACAAAGCAACTGTTTTGATTATGCAGAGGTTCTTGATTCTGGTCTTCACTGTCAGCCCTAGCTATGAAAACACAATTTTCCTAGTATAAGATAAGAGTGTAACACTGGTGATACAGCCGAAAAGCAGCATAAGTATGGCTCTGATCCCATGACCCAACCACTCACCCTCCTGCTACTGCAGTTGTCCCTGGGCCTTGAGCCCACACTCACCCTGCTGCTCCAGCAGTGCATTCTGCTTCTTCAGGTCGTCGATGTCCTGCTGGTGTGTGTGGTTTTTTCGTCTCATGTACTGGATGTAGTCTGTGGCTTTGTCTAGGATCTGAGCTCGGGAAGCCTGTTTGACAGATTGCTGTCAGCAACAAATTACAAACTCAGCCATGAGGCAATGTTGCATTTGTCCTTATCACAGTATTACAGGTGACACATGCACTGCAGGCCCAGTTATTAAAGACTGGGCTAAATACCATTCGCTTATTGGAACCAAGTAGATATCCAAACAGATTCATAACTGAGCCAATCATTCATGAAAATGAAAACTAAACCGTTCAAAATAATGGTTGAGGTTTATTTGATCCTCATTGATACAGCAGTACATTTAGCATGAATACATTTGGACATTCATACAAATTACTAACTTCATATTGCATTCATTCTACAGTCAGAGCTGGAAAGTAGAAAATATCGATTACTAACTTTACTAACCTTCTCCCCTTGTAACGCAGGCACAGAGTCCCGTAAACTGCTGAAGCTGTCTTTAATGTGGTCCCTACGTTTGCGCTCCAGAGCATTGTGATGTGCTCGTTTGTCTGCCTGCAACGAGAGATCCACAGAGGAAACAGCTTCAACCCAAACTAGCAATAATGAGAGGCCAAGTAATAAGTGTTTAAAAAAGGGTTTCTTCCTGCAATATTGAAACGTGTATGTGTTTATTTGTGTGTGTTTATTTTTACATGGGCTACCCATTTCAATACCCATCTGAATCCAAACCCAATTATTTAACACATTTCACATTGTGATTGCTAATGAGTTAATCGTAGTAACAGTTAGGCTAAACATAGACTTACATGACATAAAAGTGGTGAATCAATGCTGACTGTTGGTATGAAGTCTACAATACTGGTTGCTATGGACAATGTCTGTCTCATACATACCAAACTACCTCCTATGCACTCTGATCCTTATCACCACCGACCTCTAGCCTATATGTCTTTGTTGTATTCTTTTAGAAATCACTAATGTCTCATGTTCTAAGGAGGACAGAATGGTACCACCTGTTGGTTGCTTGGCAGCTACATCTGCTCTCTAAACAAAACGTATTATGACTCCATGTTCATCACCAAGCAGTATAAGGGGTTCAGCAAGCATCATTGAATTAATGCATAGAAGACATTATGGCATATGAGTCAGTGTAATAGCACTGCTCTTATCCAGAGCTGATATCCATCATCCAGCTTCATCAAAATGGGGGAGGGGAAGTCTCCTTTAGTCCTCTATGAAAACATGTGTTTATATGTTGCTTTTAACAGCCCCAAATGCAATGCATGATCTTATCACCTATTGAATGAAGTATGAACAACCTGTTAAAAATACTAAACAAATTAATTATGATGAGAAGGACACGATGTACATTATTTCCTCTCATGGGGTGCACAGTACAAACACAAAAATGGCATATCCTCTGCATAACATGATAATAGCTCGTAACCATTTGGGTTGCTTCAAAGGACAATTCCCCTTGGTTTATGGGATGAGATTACCCTTTCATGGGTTAATATTTTCAGGGTGGCTAACGTCCCATCAAACCTGAAAAAAATGCACAAGCCTCGTAGATAGATGTCATTTTACATAATGTACAAGAGCAAAGTATAACTAGCTAACTAACTTGTGAAAAAGTGCACTGCCCTTGTAACGTTACACTTCTCTACACCAGTGGTTCCCAACCTTTTTCGCTTACTGTACCACAAACTTAATTTTGCTCTGCCTGGAGTACCCCTGAAGAACCCCCTCATGTGCATTTTCCCAGTAAGTCTATGGTCTCATGAGTCTTATCAACTACCCCCAGGGGTCCTAGTACCCCTGTTTGGGAACCACTGCGCTACACTGACTTACCTAACTTGCTAAATTAGCTAGCTGGCCTTGCAAGCGAGTTGTTGAGGTAATATTTAACTACCTAGCTTGCTGTTTTTGCATGCATCGCTCGCTGTTTGTTGTTCTAGCCAAGTTAGCGCCAGCTAGCAAGCAATGTTCAGTTCACCGCAACAAATAGAACAATCAAGCTCAGTGTTAGCTAGCTAGGTAGCTACATTGCTAAAACTGGTAAAATTAGCTAACAATACACATTTTATTTGATGACATTATTATATATGCATGTATTTAAATTATCATTTGTTGAGAAATCATGTATGCGTTTATTTTGTTTAATTGGCAAACTACTCAGCTGATTGGCTATTACTGTGTCGAAAAATATTTCTGATCTGCCAGCTAGTTCAGCGAGCCAGCTAACATACTCCAGGGAACTACGAAAAACACGCGTTTCCCTGATCAAAAATACAAACGCGATCACATTAACTTACGTCACTGTCGACATCGATATCTTCGTTGTCGCTCATTCTTCGGTGAAATGTATGAGAAAATTAAAATTGTTTAAAATAAACACAGGCTATAGCTAGCAACCAAAATGAAACGAAGAACGAAACGATTCCTACAGCAGGGACGACCAACGGATTCTCGACACGTGATTCGCCTACACATGGACACAACAGTCTGTAAAGCGCATGTGCGAAGACGAAAGGTTTTATGGGTATTGATGTCCTTTGCGTGACTCATTCGATTCTTACCAATATGTGACCGTTTGTAATTGGACTATATTCCCCACTAGCCTCTTTATTTGGACGCGCCCCGTGCTACGGAAAAGTCTCTAAATACCCTTACAACTGTTCCAGGATCTGTTTGATCATTTTGCCTTACACATTGAAATAGCTCATCGTAATTGAGCGACTATTGCAGATGTATAGAAAGAGATAGACAGACATACAGAGACAGACAGACAGACAGACAGGCAGACTCTTTGACCAATAAGACTTTTTCAAATTATTATATTAAATTATTATTATATTATATTAAATTATTATATATAATATCAAACTACATACAGATGAGAGCTCACAGTATTATCATCATTGCTGTCTTTACTTGTTTATTGTTATTCAGAATTAGGCCTATGTATGTACAATCTATAAACGTTCCCTGTTTAAGCATGCATGGTTACCATTCTTTGCAAAGGCCATTGATCACAAGACTAATTTATTTTTATTTTATTTTATTTATTTCACCTTTATTTAACCAGGTAAGCCAGTTGAGAACAAGTTCTCATTTACAACTGCGACCTGGCCAAGATAAAGCAAAGCGGTGCGATAAAAAAAACAACAACACAGAGTTACATATGGAATAAACAAAACGTACAGTCAATAACACAATAGAAAATCTATAAACAGTGTGTGCAAATGTAGTAAGTTATGGAGGTAAGGCAATAAATAGGCCATAGTGCAAAATAATTACAATTATAATTTAGTATTAACACTGGAGTGATAGATGTGCAGAAGATGATGTGCAAATAGAGATACTGGGGTGCAAATGAGCAAAATAAATAACAATATGGGAATGAGGTAGTTGGGTGGGCTAATTACAGATGGGCTGTGTACAGGTGCAGTGATTGGTAAGCTGCCCTGACAACTGATGCTTAAAGATAGTGAGGGAGATAAGTGTCTCCAGCTTCAGAGATGTTTGCAGTTCGTTCCAGTCATTTGCAGCAGAGAACTGGAAGGAATGGCGACCAAAGGAGGTGTTGGCTTTGGGGATGACCAGTGAGATATACCTGCTGGAACGCATACTACGGGTGGGTGTTGCTAGGGTGACCAATGAGCTAAGATAAGGCGGGGATTTGCCTAGAAGGGATTTATAGATGACCTGCAGCCAGTGGGTTTGGCGACGAATATGTAGTGAGGGCCAGCCAACGAGAGCGTACAGGTCACAATGGTGGGTAGTATATGGGGCTTTGGTGACAAAACGGATGGCACTGTGATAGACTACATCCAATTTGCTGAGTAGAGTGTTGGAAGCTATTTTGTAAATGACATCGCCGAAGTCAAGGATCGGTAGGATAGTCAGTTTTACGAGGGCATGTTTAGCAGCATGAGTGAAGGAGGCTTTGTTGCGAAATAGGAAGCCGATTCTAGATTTAATTTTGGATTAGAGATGCTTAATGTGAGTCTGGAAGGAGCGTTTGCAGTCTAACCAGACACCTAGGTATTTGTAGTTGTCCACATATTCTAAGTCAGAGCCGCCGAGAGTAGTGATTCTAGTCGGGCAGGCGGTTGCAAGCAGCCTTCGATTGAAGAGCATGCATTTAGTTTTACTAGTGTTTAAGAGCAGTTGGAGGCCACGGAAGGAGTGTTGTATGGCATTGAAGCTCGTTTGGAGGTTTGTTAACACAGTGTCCAATGAAGGGCCAGATGTATACAAAATGGTGTCGTCTGCGTAGAGGTGGATCTGAGAGTCACCAGCAGCAAGAGCGACATCATTGATATACATAGAGAATAGAGTCGGCCCGAGAATTGAACCCTGTGGCACCCCCATAGAGACGGCCAGAGGTCCAGACAACAGGCCCTCCGATTTGACACATTGAACTCTATCTGAGAAGTAGTTGGTGAACCAGGCGAGGCAGTCATTTGAGAAACCAAGGCTATTTAGTCTGCCAATAAGAATGTGGTGATTGACAGAGTCAAAAGCCTTGGCCAGGTCAATGAAGACGGCTGCACAGTACTGTCTTTTATTGATCGCGGTTATTATATCATTTAGGACCTTGAGCGTGGCTGAGGTACACCCATGACCAGCTCGGAAACCAGACTGCATAGCGGAGAAGGTACGGGGGGATTCTAAATGGTCGTTGATCTGTTTGTTAACTTGGCTTTCAAATACTTTCGAAAGGCAGGGCAGGATGGATATAGGTCTGTAACAATTTTGATCTAGAGTGTCACCCCCTTTGAAGAGGGGGATGACCGCGGCAGCTTTCCAATACCTGGGGATCTCAGACGATACGAAAGAGAGGTTGAACAGGCTGGTGATAGGGGTTGCGACAATTTCGGTGGATAATTTTAGAAAGAAAGGGTCCAGATTGTCTAGCCCAGCTGATTTGTAGGGGTCCAGATTTTACAGCTCTTTCAGAACATCAACTATCTGAATTTGGGTGAAGAAGAAGCGGGGGGGGGGGGGGGGGGGGGGGCATGGGCAAGTTGCAGCGGAAGGTGCAGAGCTGGTGGCCGGGGTAGGGGTAGCCAGGTGGAAAGCAGGCGGCGATCATAACCAGGCCTCTTCCTCTGCAGCCTGTGATTATGAGGCCAGATGGCAGCCCAGTTTCAGCATCCCTCCCCTACTTCTCACCCTGATCATACACTTCTCTCCATCTGACCTGTATAAACCTGCTGTTTCCCTACAAGCACCTGAATATTCCCATTGCTGCAGTCTGAGGGTATGCAACATTGGCAGAGTTCAAATGTAATTTTTCATATCACAGATAGGTATAATATTTGATAATCAAGGGAATAACTGTGCACAACTGGCTTTTGTATATATACTGTAAAACAAAAACACACAGAAAACAGGCTATAATATGTACATTCATAAATGGGATGATGTTTGGTGTTCAGCTAATCAATCAGATAAGTAATCATACATTTTACCAACCATCTGACATTCTGCAATTATGTGATCCTCTGATGGTTGATGGATGATCTTACAGTCGATACATTTAGGAAAATAAACACTAGGTGCTTCTTGTATAAGTTATGTTTGACAGTAATTATTTAGCAGTAAAGAGAATGACACTGTCAAATGATAAATATCCAAAGGAGGCACTACCAGAGTCAGAGGGCCAGACCAAACCCAACTAGGCAACTTGCATCCTAATGGACTTAATCAGTGTCCATAAAACAACCAGCACTTTCACTTTATGTACCTCTGCAGCTCTTTCTAACATCATATTACTCACCAGCCACACCATATGCTACCCTCAACCCTCAGAGCCGTTTCCATGACCCAATGGCCAACACACAATCATTGGCATATTGCCCCCTCTCCTCCAAAGAATCCTCAGATATTTCTTGATCAAGATACTGTATATATGTAGGGCAGCCCCCGAAGTGACTCTTATTATCAACTGTATGCAAGAATTTCCTCTGTGTTGTCTTAGGAATTCAGCATTCTCTGTTTTGATCTCCAACCCCCATTGTCACATATCTGAGAAGCAGAGGTTCTGTTGTCTTTACTGGTCTGTAGGTCTGACATCTGATTAGAGGTTAACTTTACAGTAATACTATTGGTCAACAAGTCAGATGTTATAAACGGTCTTAGATTCATTGTTTCTTTCTCTTATGTTGCTGACCTGCACTGGTGAAATACAGTACCTACACTCTTTCTTTCTCTCTCCCTCGCCCATGAGCTACGGGCCATGGCACAACCATGGTTTCTTTGTCTCTCTTTTTCTCTCTGACCATGCTTTGAATAATGCGTTGTAATGCTTGTTATGCCTTGAATAATGTTAAATGGAGTCAGATAAAGATAAACATTTTAATAGGCTAATTGCTTAGTCTTATTACGAGTCGCATGTGAGGTATATATAATATAGCATATATAATATATATGAACAATATTACCCACTACATATATAAAGAGAAAATGTCAAAGTAATTTATTTCTCAATTTAAGCAGGAGCTTTCGCAAATAGCTATAACTTTCCAAAGAACTGCAAATCATAAGTTTACCCACACATAGCTCACTTGATGTGGTAAAACACTATCCAACAGTGCACATATTTGGGGACTGCCTGTGGACACAGGTCTCGTGAACTGCCTGCCTACTTCAGCGGACCTGCAGGATGATTGGCCAGCAGTAAATGCCTGTTTTCTGAGGTGCTGTGTGCACCCAGTGAGACTAAGCTCCACAATCACTACAGCGAAAGGGTTCACTGGACATTTTTGTAACACTGGAATGTGAGCAATTAACAAAAGCACAAGTTCGGGACTCAAGAGAGGGTTTGAAAAATAATAAAACATTTCTTCAAGCTCTTTCATGGCATGCGAAGCATAGATTCACATAAATAACAATTTTCCAGTGAAATGTTTAATCAGAATGCATATCTGGTATTTGTAACTCCATACAAAACCTGGTCAATAGAGGTCATAATATCATGAAAGCAGTGCTATAATCTATTGCTGATTAGAAATAGATTGGGATACTTTTTATTTTTAGATCTTGAGTATTACAATATTAAGCTTCCCCCTTGGCAGCTATTCAACAGTAACAACATTTTACCATTTTACAAAACTCAATGTATTTATTTTCTCCTGTGTAAAACGCAGCTCCAGGATGACAGGAATAACTATTTTCAATAATTTGTATTTCTACAGTACATTTACATTTTACATTTTAGTCATTTAGCAGACGCTCTTATCCAGAGCGACTTACAGTTAGTGAATACATATATATATATATTTTTTTCATACTGGTCCCCCGTGGGAATCGAACCCACAACCCTGGCGTTGCAAACGCCATGCTCTATCAACTGAGCTACATCCCAGTAAACATCACAATGAAATGTCATGACTTGGATTGCTCTGAGTCTATGGTATGCATTGCTTAGTTACATGGTATGCAACGTCTGCATCAAATCAAATCACATGTTAT